AGCTTTTCGTCTTGTACTCATCAGGACAATTCACAAGTTTACCTTTTTTAAGGGGAAAGCTAATCTTTATACTGAAAGAAGTGAGGGCACTTGTGGCACGGTGGTGGTGACCCTACCTCTAGGCCAAGATGCCCGGGTTCAAATCCAACCTGGTCTAGAGATATGTATAACATCTCCTGAACAAGTTACTTTAGCTAGAGCTCTCATCTCATGCAGTATAAATACTAATTGGTTGGCAAGTGAACTCTGTAAATGTGTTTCCATAGAGAATGCACCCACTAATTCTGGCAGTTAACAGCGAGATTTTGTTAAAATTTTTAAACCAGAGAAATTGAGTCTGATTTGACTCTGAAAAATGAACCAGCTAACGGCTGTTATCTACTTTTATTGTGTTGAAAAAGGCATAGTATGTGTACATATTTTGTCTGCAAAGAATTGGGTCCTGTATATTTAATTGTAATTTCCACTGCGCACAAGTGTATTGCAATGCAAGCCAGAATGTCAGTTCTAAATTTGGTTGTTAGCATAATTCTTTGCACACTCGGGATTTATTCAAAAAATGTTATCCAATTGCAGAATTGAATCTAATGTTGGTTACTTGTAAGTTTGTTTTTTTTTATTTTGCAAGTGTGGGCTGGCTGGGTACAGCCAGTAGCTTGCTTTCTGTGACAGCCAAAGGGTTATGCTGTTTGGTCTGTCCCAGAGACTTGCATATTGTATCACCTACATAACCTAGCATCACTCTGGCACTGAGATTTGTATATCACATACTTATTTATGTGACAGGTGGAATTTCATTTTATGCTTTATGCAGTAGCAATACAAAAGCTAGCTTCACCCATTGCTCAAACCTTTAACATATCTTCTCCGTCGTCTTAGGAAGACCAGACAGTTTTCAGGACCGACTGACTGTCTCTCGACCCTTCACCTGTTTGCATGATATATAGTAAGCAATGATCTGATCAGGATAGCTGTCATTGTACACGATGACCCTACCCTATTTCACCACCACATTTATTTATTTATACCCTCAACAAAATAGACAACAGCCATTCACTGGTTCGTTTCTTGGGACAAAACCCAGACGAGTCTGGGTCAAACTACCTAGTTTAAAATTTAAGCAAAGTTGGCTGTTAATTTGCCAATTAGCATTAATGGCCACATTCTCCATGGTAACCCTGCACTTGCTAGCTAACTAACACACTCTTCTCGTGCACTGCAAGTATTGGTTTTCCCCTTTCTGAATTGGTACTGAAGATTTTCCTGATAAGTGAGGAGAAGTTTCAACAAAACTCCCTCTCTCTTTTTTTTTTCCTCAGCAGTATTGAAATTAGTATACTAACAAATGACTGCTTGTATGTCTGTTGTATTGTTGAGACCGTTCAGATGTGCGAGATTTAGCTTGGATATTTCTTGAACAACTGGTGGCAAAATCACTTGTGTACCAATCTCCGGTAATGATTTAAGTCTGGACATTCACAGTTGTTTAGAAATCAGAACATTGGAGTTCCCAGATAAACCAAGGTTATGGTCCTCTTATTAATCCTCTTAACATCCTAATAGTGATGTTGTTTACGTAGCCTTCAACAGATCTACGCGTATCGGAAAAACCTCCAACAGTAGAAAACTTTGGAGAATCTACATTGTCTGCATCTAACTTTCATTTGAATTGCATAGTTTTTGTGGAGTTAATTGGAAAACTTTTGTCATGATTTGCGTTACCTAATTCCTTTAGAATTCTAAAAGCGGCAACCTTCTTTGTGAACATGTTTCTTTAGGATCTAATCCCTCCACCCCCTCAAGCACTTTGGTCACCAGTTCTGCACTATTTTTATACTGTGCCTACCTGAATTACATCCAGTATTCCAAGTGCGGCCACACCAATGACTTTACCAAATGACGTTTGTCTCAGTCTATCAGCTAAATATTTACCTCATATCCCAATTATCTGAATTTTGCTTTACTCAATATGATCCAAGCTTTGTTTCAATAGCTTCAATTTATTGTCGATCACTAATCCTGACCTTTTTTAATGTCATGAACATTATCTTCTTTCTTGTTATCTAATTCAACATGAAGCACTTTGCATTTTTATTTGAAATTATACCACTGACCTGTATGCCCATTTCCCACATATATTCAAATACTCCTGCAAATTTAGCCTTTTCAGCTTTGGGGTTTACCACCTTCATTAACTTTCATTGTTGTTCTTAATCACTGTTTTGCCTCACTTGCATATGTCCTTTATGAAGCTCTTAAACAAAAGAGGTCCTGATGCAGCCTACGTGACTCTGCCTATCTGAGGTTGACATACCAATCTCCTCAAACTCTTGATCATAGTGCATCTGTGTGGTATTTCAGCTGATTCCCACTTCCTTTTTATTTTCAAGTATCAACCCTTTTTGTTTTGAGAGCAACTATATCAAAGTCATTACATTAAATCTAATTACTGCACACCTTCTCCGTTCCCGTTCGAGATCCTTTTTTGTCCTGCACTGAAAGGAACTTGGAAGTTGGGGTGGCAAGAAACAAAAACATAAATTGCTGGAAATGCTTTGCAAGTCTGCCAGCATCAGTGGAGAGAAATCAGTTCAAGTTTCGGGTCCGGTGACCCTCCTTCAGAACCCTTCTGAGGAATGGTCAGCCGACCCAAAACATTAACTCTGATTTCTCTCCACAGATGCTGGCTGACCTGCTAAGCTTTTCCAGCAATTTGTTTTTGTTTCTGATTTACAGCATCTGCAGTTCTTTTTTTTTTTAGATTGGCAAGATCTTGTCTACATGACTGAATCAAAATAAAAGATAGCAAATGCTCCAACTTTGTTTCCATAATGTCCTTGGACTCCTTTATTAACTCTCTCCCTCCACAAAGATGCTGCCAGACCTGAGTTTTCTTTTCAGCGCTTTGGTTTTTGTTCTGTACACTCGTGGTGCAGCAGCATTGCTGCTATGGCTACTACTTCAGATTTGACTCTTTTTAGAATAGTGCAAATAAAATTGAGTGCCACAATAAAATGGCTTTGTCTTAAAGTATTTAACGACCATTTGAAAGTGGTCAGCTAGCACAGTTGGCTGGATGGCTGGTATGTGATGCAGGCTGACACCAACAACATGAGTTCAATTCTTGCATCAGCTGAGGTCACCGTGAATGACTCTGACTCTGCTTCTCAACCTCTCCCCTTGCCTTTTGGTGAGGTGATGCTCAGATTAAACCACTACCACTTGTGTATCTCTATTGAGAGACAGCCTACAGTCTGGTAAGTCTATGACTACTTTACTTTACTTTTTAATGTTTGAAAAGTGGAACCTGAGTGAATCAAGCTGTCTGTCTAATTTGAATAATTTTTGCTGCTCCTTACTTTAAGAGTAATATCTGCTACTTGCAAGCCCTCAAACCTCTTCAATGGCTGGTGATTCTTGGCCGTTTTATTTGAACTAGCGAGTTAAAACACAACTACTGAGGTATAAACAGTATTATTTTGAAACAAAAACAGTATGTGCTGGAGAAATTCATCAGGTCTGGTAGCATCTCTGGAGAGAAACAGTTAACATTTCAAGTCTTTCACAAGCTTCCCCAATTCAATCAACTGGACTTGAAACATTAGCTTTTTTTTCTCTGCACAGATGCTGCCAGACTTGCTAAGCTTCTCCAGAGCTTTCTTTGTTTCAGCTTTCCAGCATACAGTTTTACTTTATGTAGTTTTTGAATCCAGAATGTTGCTGCTTTCAATGGTACCTTCCATACAGCCTTTATTAAGCTATGGTATACATAATGCCCTGCATTTCAAACATTTTCTCAGTGAGCACTTCTTCATCTGAAACCTATTGGGCCTCTAACAAGGCAGTGGTGTAGGCATAATGTCATTGGACTTGTAATCTGAGGACACGTTAGAAGAAACGCTGGGACGTTTTTCTACTGGAGCAAAGGAGGTTGAGAGGTGACCTGGTAGAAGTTTATGGCTTCCCCCTAGGATGGGGGATTTCAAGACTGGAGGGCATATTTTTAAGGTGGAAGGAGAGAGATTTTAAAGACATGAGGGGCAAATCTATTACACGGGATAGTCCACATCTGGAATGAACTTCCTGAGGAAATGGTGGATATGGTACTATTAAAAGATCCAAAAATATTTGGATAAGTGCATAAATTGGAACGGCTTGGAGGGAAATGGGCCAGGAGCAGACAGGTGGGACTAGTTTAGTTTGGGATTATGTTTTGGCGTGGACTGGTTGGACCGAAGGGTCTGTTTCTGTGCTGCATGACTCTATAACTATAATCCCACCATGGCAGATGCTGAAGTTAGAATTCTCCGAACAAAACTGGAGTAGAAAGCAAAACTAGTGGCAACCATATAACCACTATTTATTGTAAAAACCTCATGGCTCGCTAATGTCCTTTTTTGGCAAATGAAATCTTCCTTACTGGCTTGGTTTGGCCTGTGTGGTTGACATTGAGCTTATGGGGATGGGAAATAAATGTTGGCCTAGCCAGCAAGGCCTAATTCTTCTGAACGAATTAAAACAAAATAGTCAGCTGCATAATCCTGTGAAAACGGGAATTTTCCTTTTTTTTTTGAGGATGTTAACTGTCACTTTTCACAAACTGTACGGGACTTTTTTTAGTGCTTCATAAGCATTTAATCTAGAATTCTGTAGTATTTTGTTTGAATGAAGTTTTGTTAGAATTTCTGCAGCAAGCCATTTTTGATGACTGCTATCTTTTAATATTAGTCTTTGCTGCAAAACTCTCTGATTGATTTAAAGCAGTCTTGGAAGTTGGTAATTTCATTTAGTGAATGCTTATACCCAAGCAAGGCAGGTATTGCACAAATTTGGCTTCTGGTGAGCTTACGCAAGATGATTTGCAACTATAAGAGAAATCATGTTGAGTTGTATACTAAAATTCCTGTTTTGCAAATGTGGGTCGAGCTATCTTTGGTTTAAAGTCACTTCAAGGATAGTGTCGGAGCTGAGCCTTACCCTTGATTCTGTTCTCACTCAAGGTGCCCACATGTGAATTTTCTAGCAAGGGTGACCAGATAATGACTAGGAACCCTGGTTGCTGGCTTTTCCTTGCCTATTCCAGCCCAGAGGTTTTGAGCGAAAGTTTACACCCAACCATTTGTCCAGCTGAGCGTCAAGTAAGTACAGACTTAAATGTTGAACCAGAGATATTGTGATAAGTGCTGGGTGATCTTTTTTTTCCCTGTGTAGCCTATCAAATGAGCTAAGGCACTGTTTCAGTATTGTATGGTGTAAAATATTTTGGCAATGTTGACTGAGTTGAAACAATCCATGAAGTACATGTGTAAATCTTGAAACCTTGAGGATGTAAAATGGTTACTGCATTCAATTGGTGGAACGTTTTTGTTTTTTTTTTTGTAGAGCTAACTTGCATCGCTGATGGATTCAGCATTTGATTGAACTGGTATGTACAAATACTTAAAATTTATGGTAAGTCAAATTTGCATGTTTGAAGATCTAATTATGGGACTAATTTAACACTGATTGGATGCACGTACTTGAAAAGCTGAACCTCTTCATTTCCTTAAGGGCATGACAGGATGAAACGCAACAGACATTTGAGCAGCAGTGACAGTTCAGACAATGAGAGTAAGTAGGATAACAATTTTCATTATTGTCCAAATATATAGCCTTTTGTTGGTGTTGGGTTTTTTTGCCATAGACTATCTAGGTGTTTAAATTTGTGTTTTGCTGTGCTGAAGACTGATTAGGGAGAGTTGTGGGACAGGGTTTTCACTTTGATTCATCTTGCAAGTGAATCCTCATTTTCAAAGTCTGCCTTCAGAGTATTACTTAAATGGGGAAGAAAGCAGAAAGTTTCAGGACAGAGACTTTGGAGCACGTGCATAAATGCGGAAAGCTACATGCAGCAGGTAATCAGGAAGACTAATAAAATGTTGGCCTTTATTTCCAGGGTGTTTGGATTATAAGAATGGGAAATCTTAATGCAACTGTACAAGGTACTGGTTACACATTGGAAGTAATGTGAACAGTTTTTGACCCCTTTTCTTTGAATTTGACTCCAAAATGAAGATTAACTAGAATGGTCCTTGATATCAAGGGATTGTTTTATGAGCAGCTGCTAAACAGATTGGGACTTTACTCACCAGAGTTTAGAAGAATGAGAGGTGGTCTCATTGAAACAGAGCATTCTTGGAGCTTTATAGAGTAAATGCTGAGAGGATACTTCACTTCATGGGAGGACCAGAGGGCATAGTCTCCGAACGAAGGGGCATCAATTTAAGATTGCAGTGGGGAGGAATTTCTTCTAAGCGTTACATGTCTTTGGAACTCCTTGCCTCAGAGCTGTGGGGACAGAGTCCTTGCCTATGTTTTAAGGCTAAGATTGATGCTTGACCAGTAGGGGAATTAAAGGTTATCGGGAAAGGGCAAGAAAGTAGATGCTGAATGTCTTATCAGCCATAATCCTATTGAATGGCAGAGCAGGCTTGAGGGGGTCAAACTGCCTATTGCTGTTCCTGTTTCTTGTGGTCTTAAATTTGGCATTAATTGTTTGCTTGAATGGATGCCAATGCTGTAAAGGTAGTTGAGTTAGCTGGTTCATCTTCTAGTGACACATTTGAAGGGGAGGAAAGCATCCTATCAGCACTTTTCCTGCGGATGGTATATGTTAGTGTTGCTCCTGTGCTGAATATTTAGATTACTGTATTCACAGGTTCATTTTAGAAGTTTTTATGCAGTTGTAATTAGTTGCATGAAACTGCTATAATATTGTTTTTGTAATGTATTTCAATTAGATGTTGGATTGTATGGTCTCTGGAGTCGTCACCTTGCTTTGATACCTTTTATTTTTTTCTGTACCTTCCTGCATAGGCCCTTCAACATCATTGTCCTCTCATTCAAAGTACAGGAGTGATCGGCATGCCTTGTCGCATGGGAAGAAGAAGCCTGCTGAGGTTAGTACTTTGCAAACAAAAAGACACTGACTCAAATTTAGGTTTTAAAAAAATCTGGATTTTTACCCACGTGGAAAGTATGTGTGTTTTTTTTTAAAATTCCATGCGCTTGCCTAAGAGTTTTTAGGCTTTCTCTTTAGGAGGAAATACATATGCTATTCTTGTATTCCTAGGACACTAGCTTTTCAGGGACAACTCCAGTAAACCTAAAATAATAATTCTGTCACAGAAGTCTTCTACAACTTGCCAAACGTTTTACTATATCACAAAATGCCAAAAACCAGAGATTAAACTGCTGTAAATATAAGCATCTGATTCTAATGATTCCTGTTTGGACTAGAACTCGTCAGCAGTTTCACAAGAATGTTGCCATGATATAGTGGGCTGAATTGTGACCTTTTTCATAAACTTGGTTTGAATTCAATTGAGCGTATGAGTGCTTAAAAATGATAAAAGGATTTCCGAGAGTAGATGCAGTAATAACCTTTTCCTTGATGGGAGTCAAAACAAGGGAACATTAATCTTCAAATTAAAACCAAGTAATTTAGCCATGAAGGATTTTCTCACGCACAGTGCGTAGTAATTTGGAGAATTATTTGGGCTGTACATTGACTTTACTACTTTCTCCACAGATCTGTCTCTCCTGCACATTATTTTAATTTCAGATTTCTAGCAACTGCAGTATTTTGCTTTTGTTTGAGAGAGATTTTGCTAGCTAAGGACATACAAGGTTGTAGAGAAAATAACATTTCAGTTGTATATCAGTGTTCTAATTCCATGGCAGTGCAGCCAATGGGAATCACTGGCCTTCTCCTTTTCTAACAGTATGACTTTTTGTTTGAGGAGGATGGGCTCAATTGCACCTAAACCTTAGTAATCTAAATTTTTTTTTTTTGTTGCATATATTAACAATATTGGATTCTAATTCTGATAATTGACATCACCTTAGTATTTGTCAGACTGACTTTATCATGTCACCCTCAATAGAAGATTGTTAGGACAAGCCAAAATTTTCAGTAATTGAAATTATCTGTCCGGCTTCTGAATCTGAATTTTTGATATTGGCAAAGTTGATGTTAAACACGTGGGGGGAAAAAAAAGAATTCTGCTGAAAAAGAAATTTTGACAAAATGTGTCTGTCTTGCACTCGTTGGAACATTGTGCAAGAATACAAATTCAAGGGGTAAATCAACACTTACGTGGGATGAGAGGAGAGTGCAGTTTGGTTGGCAAGTGGACTTGGACAGAGGTGTTACAATGGAAAATTGCCTATGTGCAGTCTCTGTACATGTTCTTTCAGTCTAGAAAGAACAGGGCCCTGTGTATTAATATGTAGCTTTCAGAACTTGCAGGTGTGCCTCTCTGAGCCTGACTGCGTTAAATTGGTTGTCAGCATAATTCCTTTCATTTAAGAAAACTTTGAGCTGAGCATTTGAGGTCAGTCATTGAGCTTTAAAATGTATTTGCAGAGGGTTTCCATTTATTCTGGGTTTTTTTTTTCAGGGAAAGCGTGCACATTTGTCTTTCCTTTCATTCTTGTGTGCTTCCTGGCTGAGATCATGAGTGATCTATTACAATAAACCTCGGTTTATCCTGCTGTAGTTAATCACTCTCTCTCTTGTCTGTGTGAAAATCTATGAATTTGAACCAGATTATTAAACATGGTATAGCAAATTATAACCGTAACAATTTTTGTGACAACCTGTTTTAATTTTTGTTTGAATTATATATTTTTGCTTTGCCTAGGTATTTAGGAAGGACCTCATCAGTGCCATGAAGATTCCAGACTCCCACCATGTGAACCAGGATGAATATTATCTCTTGGCTGATCAGTGGAAACAGGAGTGGGAGAAAGGGGTTCAGGTTCCAGCCAGTCCAGAAACCATTCCAAATCCATCTGTTAGGTATCAGCTGCTCTTTTTTTTTGCCCAAAAAGAATATGTTCTTTCCATTCAATTGTAACGTGTCTGGCAACTAATCTGTCAAAACTACAGACCATTTCATGCTTTAAGTTGAGTCGGCATTTTGCATTGTTGAATTCCCTTTAGTTTCTGGCTAATATTTTTTGTTCACTCAAGTTTGTTTGTTTATTCTAGTTTGCTGGTTGCAAGGCACTAGCACAGCAATAGGTGTGCATATCAGCTATTGGTCAGGAAAGATATGTAGCACATGAATATCTGAAGTGCAAAAAGAAAACGTGCTTTTGTAATATTAACCACAACATTGAAGTTTAGACCTATAGCAGTAGTTGTTACTTGTTCAAAGGGTTACTTTTATGATGGAAGGAAATACTGGGTGGTGTGCCAGTATTCGGCTGATTTTGTTTCTAAATTTTAAGTCAATAGGTCTAATTCGAACCCAATGTAATTATAATGATTCATAGTTTAAAGCAAGATGGTATGAATACAGAAATTGTACAGTGAAGAATTACTGAATGACCTGAAGTTGCAAAATATGCTAGTTAATGCTTGCCTGCTCCTCTTCTGTCTTCTAATTGTGCCCGCTGCTGTTTTCTGTTACCAGATTTGTCTCTTCAATTTGAGCTCCCTTTCTGGTTCTCATCGTCCTGCTAATCTAGTTTAAACCCATCCCAAGAGCATGATCAAGTCTCTCTGCGAGACCCAGTCCTGCTATGGTGCAACTTGTCTGTCTTGTACAGTTCCACGTACCCAGAATGAGTCTCAATGCTTTAAACCTGATGCCCTCTTTCCTACAACAGTTCTCCCACCATGTGTTCAATTGCTCACTCCCTCTGTACTCATTAGCACATGGGACAGTGATTAATCCTGAGATTCCAAATCTCAGGTTCTGCTAGTTAATGTCTTCCCTGGGTCCCCGAAATTTGCTTTCAGGACCTCCTATCCCTTTGTTTGTCATTGGTATCAACGTAGAACATGACCTCTGGTTATTCACACTCCTCCAGAAGAAAGCCCTGCAGCTGCTCAGTGATATCCTAGACCCTGGTGCCAGGGAGGCAACGTGCAATCCAGAACTAGCATCTATGGCTGCAAAGACTCTTGCTTGTTCCCCTGTTGCTATTCCTCTTCTTTGTTCTTCCTGTCCTTGTGTGCAGCTGAGCCTTGGCCTTGTCTCAGAGAAGCCATTGCCTATACCAGCCAATTGAAAGCCAGTTAGTGAGTGAGTACCCCTGCACTATCAACCCTGTTCTCTTAGGCTGACATGCAGTTTTCTGACTGTATGCCCCTAACCTCTGGTGTGGCAGTGTCTCTAATCATTATTCAAGTAGTTCTCTGCCTTGTGGATGTCGAGTTCTGAAACTTGGAACTCAAGTTTCTGCACTGGTGATACTCCTTGCAGATATGTTTGTCAAGGCACATGGTTTATCCACGGCACATGGTTTATCCACAGCACCTCATGTGCCACGGGATGCACATACCACTTAGCACTGCCAGATCTTAACTCTTCAAACTATTTATTCTAAGTTGAAAACTTGCCATTTACTTTTCAACTGGCTTCTTCCCCTTTTTACCAAAGTGAGAACCAAGCAGTGAGGTTAATGAAAATGGGTGGGGGGTGGGGGGCTGCGGGCTGCTATGTGGGTGAAAGAGTATCACCTTTTCCTCCTGCACTGCAGATTCACGCACTCACCTGCATGATCCATACGAAGGAAGGTAAAGCAATACGCAGTCTACAGTACTTTGTAAGGTTTTAACCCAAGGCCAAAATAGGTTTCCTCGTATCGTGGACTTAGTCAACAATAGCAAATGTTGTTATTTTCAAGTCTTTCAGCTCCCTTTTGTGCTTTTCATCTGGAGCTGTTTCCATGGAAGCTGGGGTGTCAGCCTCCTTGAGAGGGAGAGAAAGTTTCCTTTTAGTCATCTCCCAAGAGCGCTCAACTGCAGTTGTTCTTGTGTTTTTAAGAGCTTTCTTTTTTTTTTCTTTGAGAGCCTCTAGCCATGGCTATCATAATTTCCAGTACTTTGCACTTATTAATATCCTCCTGAGACCGTCATGTTCAGTGTCTGGATTGTACGTGCTGTCTGTCTTCGGGTTCTTCTGATGCATTTGTAATTATCTTAGTTTGACAGTGTTCCAGTATAAAGGTTTAAATAGATTTCTACACTCTTCAGAATATCTTGGGGAATGTGCTGTCTGAAGAGGAAAAATACAAATTAAAATTCTTATTTGGAATGCAATCCTCTGCTTTTCCACTCCTACATAAATCCCATCATTCCATCTCTGTTGCCATAAATATCCCTTTTTTGTAACTAATTTTGGCTAATACTGCTTTATTCTAGCAAAAGGAGCACTGATGCAAAAATTTGTTTTCATGAAAGTGTATTTGCAAACTCCCTAAATGTAAGTTTGATATAAAGTAACCATATATACAATTTGTTTGTGCCAGGTTTTGTATTGGAATGGTTACTTCTCGGAGTGAACTGAAATACTAAATATTCTGGATGGACGAATCCATTGGAGGTTGAATTCCTGGCCTATGTTTAATTAGGAGCTTGCACCTGAATTTTAACTGAGTGCTCTAATAAATCTCTTTTATCACTGGTATTGAAAGGGAAAATTGCTCCTAGTTCTTGATTAGAGGAATTCGGTTACACTTTTTTGAGCTTTTTGTCTTCGCTTTCTGTGAAGTTTAAACATTCATTCTTTTTGGCTATTTTTAGGGTCATTGTGGAAAAGGTGAAGGAGACTTTGTTCACTAAACCACGGAAATATATCCGCTGCTCCACCACTGAACCCTCAGACCCTGGATACTTTAACATTCTGGAACTCGCAGACACTGTGTGCCGTTATGACTTGGATGATGTGGACATTTATTGGTTACATGCTGCGAATGAAGAACTGCGAGAAATGGGTGAGCCTGGGTTTGTTCAGTAATGTGTATATTTATTTACCACCGTGTCTGTATCGGTTTCTGCTGGGTACTCTGGTTTCTTCCCATATCACAAAGGTGTGCAGGTTAGGTGGACTGGCCATGCTAAATTGTCCATAGTGTCCAGGTATGTGCAGGCTAGGTGGGTTAGCCATGCTAAATGTGGGACTAGGGTGCAGGGCTGTGTCTGGATGGCATGTACTTCAGAGAGTTGGTGCAGATTGATAGGCTAAATGGTCTGTTCTGCAATGTAGGGATTCTATGGAAGATTTCTGGCAAGTCCACTCTAAACTGAAGTGTTTGACAACTCAGGATATTTATTTGTTCCAAATTACAGGCTTTTGTGGATTTTTTTTAATATAAAAGAGAAAATGTCTTGCATCTTACTTTCTAAACTTTTTGTATTTATCATTTTAGTGTCATTTTATCATAAAAGCCTACTGTCCATGGTAAAGACTAGAGTACAAATTATTTAAATAGTGCTGTTAACGGTATTTTTTTGATACATGTAATGACTTTCAACTAATTTTAATATGTGGTATTGGGATTGGAAAATTAGATCGTAACATTAGGTGGAGAAACTTGTTGGAAGAATCGGGTATTTTGTTTTTCCTCGATTAAATTATGATTTTTTAATTTGGCTCTGTGAACCAACAAAAAGTTAAAGCTGTAGCTTTTTGCCACAAATATTGCTAGTACTGTATTGCTCCTTTGCTTTTGTGGAATTATTTTACTGATCAATGGGTTACTGCAAACTGGAATATCCAATGACTAACTTTTTTTAAATCGAACAGGCTTGCTCACTATTTGCATACACTGCTAAAACTAAGCATGCCTATTTCCACCACCATAACATTAGCAGATTTCTTTTTTGTCTCTGTCTCCGCTCATCACCTTCATTACTTCTAGACTTGACTATTTCAACCCCTGCTTGGTTTCCCACAATCCATACTTTTAATGTCATCCTGTGCTCTGCTGTCCAAGTCTTAACTTGCAGCCAGTCCTGTTCTTCGTTCCTCATGACTCGTGTTTACTGACCGACTTTGGCTCTCTATCAAGCAATGCTTTTAATTTTTAAAAAATTTCTTCCTTTCTTCAAAATCAATTGAAGAATTTGTCCTCTCTCTTCCTCCAGCCCCACAAGCCTCCAAGATGGCTATGCTCCTTTTAATTCTGTCCTCTGTTAAACCACAGTTGCCTAGAGTCTAAGCTCTGGGATCCTCTCTCCCTCCCTCTCTCTCTTCTCCGCCCCCACCCCTCCCCCTTTTTTTTTTTTTTTTGAAATGCTCACTATATAACCTAATGCTTCAACTGAGCTTTGACTCATCTGCCTTAATATCGTCTTGTGTGGCTCGGTGTTGTTGTATTTTGTAATACTGCTGTGAAGCACTTTGAGACATCTTGTGACGTTAAAGGTACTATATACAATTTCTTTCAACTTTTTTTAAACAGAAAATCAAAAATAATAATGAAACACCACCTGGGGTACTATAAATTTAAAACACAAATTAACATTTGAACAGAACCTTAACAAAACAAACTTGCTAAATTAAAATGTCCGGACTAGTGATGCATCCCAGTCCCTGCAATGCCCACTGGTCTCTAAAGGCCTTTAATGTGCTGGTGAGCACCGCATGCTCCCTCTTTTAGGACACCAGAGCGCAGATGTAACTGCAAAAGAGGGACAGACAGTGAGGAATGAGCCTCTCTGCATCCTGGTGCCTGAAGCTGTTAATGGTCACGCCTATGAGCAGATCCATGAGAAGGCCCTCAAACTTGCCTGTTCCCTCTCTGCACTGGGTGTTGTAGATCAGGAGCCTGCAGCTGAAGTGGAACCAGAATTAAAGGAACAGCCCCTTTTAAAACACTTAAAAAGGGGCAACAAATGGAAGCTTTGTGTGAAAAACGGTTTCCTCCAGGTCCTGTGAATTTACCGCATCTGTGATTGCACGGGATTATTGCATGCAGCACTTCCATTCCAGATCTCCAATGGAAAAGGGGTTGGACCCTTTGTATGGGACCCTCCAGTGGGGATCTCTGCTGCCAAGGACAAAACATCACATCAAGGCATATCCTAACAGCAGGTAAAAGTGGTGAGTGTGCAAGAGTAGCCTGTACAGGAAACTCGTCCGTGCCACTCGAACGAGCACGAGAGGATGTAGCTCAGATTGTCGGGTGCCATGTCCCGGGGAGGATCTACTATGCAGGCCCAATGTCACATTCGGGACGGACACAGGACAGTTCATCCAAAATCCTACCACATTGCCTGAACCACCTCGATTTCACGTGAGGTGTAAAGGGCCGAGTACCTCATCCATTAGACTCTGGATGCGTTGTTTTGTGAATCGAATTTTGACCGCCCTCTTGGCCAGCTGTGCTGGCATCATCTAATACATCCACTACTCTGGTCAGCCCAGCGTCCCAAGCCCTCCCCTTTGTAAACCAGCAGAAACCACGCAAACCAGTTCCTGACCAGCAGCTCCCCTACAACAGCTGTAACTCCTGTAGGGAGAGTGCTCAAGGTGAGCCAACTGTATTCCAGCCTGTGACTTGGGTCCAAGTAAAAGACAGGCAATTCCCAGAAGATGATCAGAGGGCAGGACCCGCTGCATGTGTTTTTGAGGCAGCATGCCTGACAGAAGAAAAGTGTCATCAGTGTGCATCATCTTGGATGAGGCTTAATGTAAAGGTATTGCTGTAAGGTCTGAAGGTGGAAAGTTGCTATCCAGGCGCAGAGGCACACCAATGCCTGACCTGCCACCGCTCAAGCAGGAGACTCCAATCCTCAGTAGTGACCTTTTTTGTCCCAGCTGGCTGAGTTTTTATTGTGAATACCGCCAGCAGGTGGAGCAGGGAGCATTTTCGCACAAACGGTTGCACTGCAACATCACTGAGCGCTAACTGAGCAGTGCTCTTCCAAGATGTTTTGTTAATCTGTCAAGCATGAGTGTGTAACTTTGTTGTAACAGTTTTTTCAGTAATATGTTTTAGAGCAATAAAGTTGATCTGGAATAATCAAATTAATTTGATTATTTACAAACTTCATTTTCACAAACTAATGACTATTAAATCAAGGTGAAGTGGTCTGTGCATGCACCAGCGCTAATGTCACTGCACATGGGATGCATTGACATTAACCACACATTCACAGACTAATTCTGAAGCCTGTCATGATTAGCTGATATCACCAGCCTCTTCTACGATGTGCTGTGGCTATTTTGGCATTTGGAATAATGACAGTTTTTATTTATGCTATATGGGATTGTAGGGCTTCAAAAAATTTTAAACTTTAATAGGAGTAATATCTTAGTGGCTTCCTGTTGCTTGATGAATGGTACGCAAAGATTTGTTTAAGTGACATTTAAAATCAATATTTTCTTTAAAATTGCCTTCATTTAGGATGTGGTTTGATCCATGAATGCACTATGGAGAAAACTATAGAAGCACTGGAGCGTCACTGCTATGAAAACATGAACCATGCCATAGAAACCGAGGAAGGGCTAGGAATTGAGTATGACGAAGATGTTATCTGTGATGTATGTCGCTCCCCTGATAGTGAAGAAGGCAATGAGATGGTCTTCTGTGATAGGTGTAATATCTGTGTCCATCAAGTGAGTTAAAATGTTAATTACACACAAATATATAAATAATTCAATTTATAATACTTTACATTTTGGTTATCTTTATTGCAGAATTACCAAGTTGTAACCATCTGGATTGTTTAGGACTTTGCACTGCATATGTTACAGTGAAACACATCTAAGATTTCTCACTTGCATAGGTTCTATTTGGTCAACGGATTTCCGATTTGTTTTTGATCACTGTTAGCTAAGTGGCATTAGTTAAATGGTTCATGGGAGTTAATGAGATTTTCATTTGGAATACAACAGGGAAGCTGGCTCACTTTAAGTAGCTAAATTACATATAATTATTTTAAAGTTAAGGTTTTTTAGTTGGAATCCAAGAAGTGGATTTATAAGCATTTTTTTCTAAAATTTTAATTATCAGGTTGTGAGCATTGCTGAAAAGGTCAACTTATAAATTAGTCACTAGTTACCTGGGGCAGTCTTAAGTGGTATAGAATTGGCAACATAGTACGACTGAGCTTAAAACTATTGAAAGGTCTGATCCTGTAAGTTCTGTGTTACAGCATCCCAAAGGTGTTTACTGAAATTTTAATGCTTATCCTTTTTTTCTAACTGGTGTAGTGATTTCTATTTTCAAATGAGGTTATAGTTCTGTACTTTTGCTGGATGATGAAGCAATGGAAAATAGTATATGCAAGAAGCAGAATTTGGAGGTGCATAGAATTGTGGAATTATGTCGGGCTGGTGGAAAAAGGGAGGTCACAGGAGCATTTGAAGATGAGAATAAAAACTGTTAAAACTGTGGCTAACTGGTGCCATTGCAGGTTAGAATTATTTAGTGATCTTTTATTTGGGGTTCACCTGTTTGGTATGTTTGCTCATCTTGGCCCCATGAGAGGAAACCATACACAGGTGTGTTTTCATTCATTCATGGGAGACTTGGTGGCAAGACTAATTGTATTTGCTCTTGAGAACGTGCTGGTTTTAATTTATTTATGGCATTTGAGTGTTGCTGGCTAAGCCAGCATACGTTGCACATAGCTCATTGCCTAGACAAGACAATAGTGGGATGCCACCTTGAACTATTGCAGTGCTTGGGTGTAGGGACACCCACAGAGCAATTAAGAAGCAGCTTCCAAGATTTTGATCCAGTTACAGTGAAGAAATTGGGATATAGCTCAAATTCATCATGCTGTATGTCTTAAAGGGGAATCTAGTGGTGTTTCCATTGTTGTGGTGCGTTTTTAAAGTATAGAGTTACACAGCTCAAACAGATCCTTCTGTCCAACTTGTCCACACTGACCAGATATCCTAAACTGATCTAATCCGTTTGGCCCACTTCCCTCTTAAACCCCTCCTATTTATACACCAACCCAGATGCTTTTTACATGTTGGAATTGTACCAGCCTCCTCCACTTCCTCTGGCAGCTTGATCCGTACATGCACTGCCCTCTGCATGAAAAAGTTACCTTTTGGGTCCCTTTCTTTTCCCTCTCATCTTAAACCAATGACCTTTTAGTTTTGGACTTCCCTACCCTAGGAAGAAGACAGTGGATCTTCACCCTATCCATGCCCCTCATGATTCTATAAACCTCTATACAGTCAGCCCTCAGCCTCTGATGCTCTAGAGGGGAAAAAACACCTTTAGGCTATTCAGCCTCTTCCCCACACCTCAAATCCTCTAATCTCAGCAACATCCTTGTAAATCTTTTCTGAACCCTTTCAAGATTAACATCTATCCTAAAGCAGGGAGACAAAGTGTACGCCGAATTACTAGTTTGATATCTCACCCACTTGTGGTTCCACACACAGATGACCTTGCTGGCCTTTAAGGGACCCTATTCTCTCCCTAGCTATTTTTTGTATATATTTGTAGAATCTCTTTGGATTCTTCTTAACCCTATTTGCTAAAGATATCTCATGTCCCCTTTTTTGCCCTCATGATTTCCCTCTAGTATACTTCTACTGCCCTTTGTACTCGACTGGGGATTCGTTCAATCCCAGTCGCCTATGTCTGACATCTGTCTCCTTTTTTCTCGACCAGAGCCCTAATTTCTCATCATCCTGCATTCCCTACACCTACCAGCCTTGCTCTTCACACCCAACCGAAATATGCTATGTCTAAACTCTCTCATTATCTCATTTTTTAAAGACTTCCACTTCCCAACCATCCCTTCACCTGAAAATAGCCTCTCCCAATCAACTTTTGAAAGTTCTTGCCTAATATCAAAATTGGCCTCAGTCCAATTTGAACTTTAACTTTTAGATCAGGTCTATAACTATAACTATTTTTTTCTTAAAAAATTTAAAATATTTAATGCCTCAGACATCTGTTATTGATGTGGTTCTATCTTGAGTCACAAGTATGAACATTACTGCTTACTTGTTCATTGAGTTTTATTGATCAATATATTTTCTTCCAATTTTCTTTCGCATTCAGGCATGTTACGGGATTTTGAAAGTGCCTGAAGGTAGCTGGTTGTGTCGCACTTGTGTGCTTGGAATTTATCCTCAGTGTCTTTTATGTCCAAAGCAAGGTGGAGCAATGAAAGCTACACGTGCTGGGACCAATTGGGCACACGTAAGCTGTGCCTTGTGGATACCTGAGGTAAACCGTGCATTTATGGATTTGTTTTTTTTTCCAGCAATCTATGTCCTTGATTCCTCCTTTTTATCTTTTGCTTGCACATCTGAATTTAGGTAAGGCTAAAATGCATTATTTAAAATTCTTTTTCAATCAAATAGACTGAGTATGAAAATAAAGCCCTATTTCATGTTTTTAAAAATTCAGCATGTTAGTTGGTTTGGGATCAGATTAAACTAATTTTGTCCTGAGATAAGAAATAACTTTCTTCATTGTTAATGTAAGAACTATGTCCCCACCTTCAATTAGGAAGTTGCATTGGCATGAGTAGCATTCTTGTCGCTTGAGTTTTAACATGTTCGTGATTCAAGTTCTATTCCAGGGCATATGCTCAAAATTCAAGGCTGCACCAATACTTTCAGATGAGATGTTGCAACAAGGCCCCAGCTGTCTGAGTGTTTGTAACACCTGCACTTTTCTGAAAGAATCTGGGGAGTTACAAGATCATAAGATGTAGGAAGAGATGTAGGCTGTGTCGCCCATTGAGTCTGCTGGGTCATTTAATGACATCATGGCGGATTTGATAATCTTGAATTCCGTTTTCTTGCATTTTCCATTCATCCCTTGACTTCCGAACATAATTTTAATGTGTATATCTCCATTTTGAATACAGTCTGTTCTCATATAATGTGTTTCTTCAACGTGAATCAGCTTTAACGTAATTAGAGAATTTCATAGGTCATAGATCATAGAATCCCTACAGTGTGGAAACAAACAGGCCCTTCAGTCCAACAAGTCCATACTGCCCCTCAGAACATCCCACTCATAACCCACCTAATCTACACATCACTGTACACTGGGCAATTTAGCATGGCCAACCCACCTAGCCTGCACATCTTTGGACTGTGGGAGGAAACCAGAGCACCCACAGGAAACTCCCTAGACCGTTATTTGTAGAGTGTGACCTTTCCATTACCTGTATTGGCTGTAATGCGTTTCTGGCCCCATTAGTTTAAATGGTGTGGCTGTTGTGCCATTTTCTTATAACGCAAAATCGCATGAGAACGGAACTATCACGTTATATCAGAACCAACTGTACTCTTAATGACCCAGCCTCACTAACACTCTGCAGTAATGAATGAACAAAACTTAAGAGATGGGCAATAAATGCTGGCCTAGCCAGCAATGCCCTCATCCCATGAATTTTTTTTTAATTTTAAATCCCACAGATTCAGCGCCCTCTCTGAGAGAAGTAATGCCTCCACACCACTATCTATCTTAAATGGGCAACTCCTTACTCTGAGATTTATGCCCTCTGGCCCTACACTTTGCTACAAGGGGAAACAACCTTTCAGCACCTTCCCTGTCAGGCCCCCCTAATACCTTGCATGTTTAAATGAAATTACCTCTCATTCTTCTAAACCTCCAATGAGTATAGACCCAAAGTACTGATCTTTTCATTTTAAAAAAAAAAAAAAAACCCTTCATGTCCAGGACCATCCTAGTGAACCTTCTCTGGATTGCCTCCAATGTCACTTTATCTTTCCTCAGAAATCAAAACTGTTCATGGTATTTAAGGCATGGTGTAATGCATTGTATAGTTTTGTCAAGACCTTGCTATTTTTATTTTGAATTCCCTTTCCATATAAAGGCCTTTCCTAATATCTGCTGAAGTTGTAGGCGTGTTAGGTTGTAGAAGAATTTTGGCTAAGCTGAAAACACAAAATGGTGTGCTGACCAGGAGGGAATTCAAATAACAAGTCTGGAGGGATAAAGGACATGGTTATTAGTGATGTCTTGGCCAAAATATATGTCTCAATCACATCTTAAAAACAGAATATCTGGTCATTATTATGTAGCTGCTTGCAGAAGTTTGCTATGCACAAATTGGCTCTGTGACTTTTCTGATGTTATAACAATGATTACTGTTATGGACCAGACCAAACTTTCCATCAAAATATATTAAGATGACAGGGTCCAGACCCTAACTTTTTTCTTTCTTTAAAGCTAAGTGTAAGGTGTTCCAGGTGCAACTTGATTGGTCAAACTATTTGACGTTAAGCAAAACACTTTTTTATTTTAACGGTAGTACAAAATGACGGACAAAATAAAACAAAAGTATTAGCTTAACAAAATAATAGATTTATTAACTGCTAATTAACTATTCCAATTTAATAATATCCTATAAACACCCCCTTGGCAAAAACAAATCCTGTAAAATATTGTCTCGTGCAATTCAAGCAGCAGGAAGAGAATCCCAGCTTTTAGTTGTAACAGAGGAATAATTGCTTCCACATCCAGGTTCAAGAGCCCAGCAACTGCTGCTAAAGGCTTAAACTAATAATCCTGGTTGTGTGGGGGCTTGGCCCCACTCGGACTGCTTCTATTGTTCCAACTTTAAAAAAAGAACCCAAGGCCTCTCAAGCTGTTTACTTTATTGGCTTTGAGCAGACTGCTCAGCATCTCTGTTTTAACCTTCCTTCGTTTTTTGACAAAATGCCCCACTTAAATCCATAGTAATGTCACTACATTTCAGAGAGCATTTCGTTGCCTGCAAAGTGCTTTGACTGTCTGGTAGTAAAAAGCTCTGTCTAACTGCAGGTCAAACAATTTTTTTCCACCGAGTTCATTGTGTTCGGCTAGAGTCACTCATTACTTCTTTCGAAATTCTTTAATTTTGGGACTTGATGCCTCTATTAAATGCAGTCTGTTTTGATCTGAAGAGGTACTTCATGAATTTTTGATTTTACTGATGATCTAATTTGCTCATGTTGTGGAGAGGAATAGATGGAACAGTCTGCTGTTGTGAGTCTTAGAATTGAGATGTGTAATAGTGAGACTTGGTTGTATTTTGATGGATGAGATTAATTGAGTTTAATTTCCACAATAATAATTCAGCTGTGGAAATGAAAACATTATCGGCAGACAAGTTCTTGTTTATTGTACAACTTTGATAAAATACCTTGGAGTTTTGGTAGCATGTTTCCACTCGATTTAAAATTTAATATTAGAATTTCCTTTTCACAGCAGAATTATTATAATAGAAGTTTAGTTTCTTGAAAGTTTTTATAGTAATTGACCCCAAATTCTATTTTGTAGATTCCCATTCAAAAGTAGCAGTTAGAAAAATCTGATAGTTGATACAATTGGTTGGTCTGAATGCATACCTCTTTCTGAAAAAGATCAAATCGCTGTGTTTTGAAAGAAGCTAACATACTAGAACTGCCCATAAATGGAGTCTAATCAGAGTTAAACTTTTGACTCGGTCTTTTTTGCACATTTGGGAAATGTTCTGACTATATATTTATATGTAATCACAGGTCAGCATTGCCTGCCCTGAAAGAATGGAACCAATTACAAAAGTGTCTCACATTCCACCAAGCCGATGGTCATTAGTCTGCAGCCTCTGCAAATTGAAGACTGGTGCCTGCATTCAGGTATGTCTCTCCTGCAAGACTCTGGTTAAGGGCTTGATAAATGGTTGAGTTGTATTCTTTCTCGACAGAAAGTGGTTAATGGTCCTCTACACTTTTTTCGTATGTATATATTCAACTGCTGTGCCACTGATTCTGACAGCGAATGATGTGTTATCTAAGCTGAATTTTCAGAAATTAACCAGGTACTTGTCAGGGACCTGATCATTATTATGTTATTGCCAAAATGTGGTCAAATATGCTTTCAGTTGAAAAGTGACTTCAGGTCAGTAACCTATTTACAAAAGGCCACTGGCATTGAAATCGCTTACAAGCAGGAGCCTGGATTCTTTATAGTTAGCTGCTGTTTGCAACTGGACCTTAATTCCCTGTTTCCAAATCATTAAATTGCTTTCTTTGCAACCCTCATTTTTTTTACAAGCTCTAGTATTGATCTGGCATCACAAATTGGAAGTTATTTTTCATTCACCTTTGAGGTTTGGACTTGGCTGGCAAGGCCAGCATTTGTTGCCTATCCCTAATTGCTCTTGAACTCAGCAATTTGATAGGCCATTCACTGGTAGTTGCAAGTCGACCATATTGTCGCGGGTCTAGAGTGAGTGTAAGCCAGACCAGGTAACAACAGCAGTCTTCCTTTCCCAAAAGGCATTAATGAGCCAAATGGTTTTTAACAACTATTGTTTACTAATACAATGGGTTTCAGTTTTAGATTTTATTAATCAAATTTCAATTTGACCACTGCAGCAAGTAGAATTTAACTCCCATCCCAGATCATTAGTCTGGGCCTCCAGATTACAAGGTCAGTGACACTACCACTGTACCATAATTTTCCGGTACTGTGTACTCAGTTGACAAACCTTTTTTTGCATCCAAGATCTCTGGCAGTTAAATTAATGAATCCATTTACCATTTCTATTGTTGACAGTTGTCATGGTCATTTAGCTTTGTATTCCAGATTCATTCCTGAGTTTAAATTCCACCAACTGTTATGGTGGGATTTGAACCTGTGCCCCCCACAATGTTGACCTGCCTTTAGGATTTCTAGATTTGTGACATTACCACTTCATTGTCTCCCTATAAAAGCTGTGTTCTGCAACAAAATTAGGTATGAACTTCTCAGGACCTTTTTGGTGTAGAGAGGAGAAAGTAACACATTTTACTTTCACCATGGCAGTTCTGTTTCATTCATAAAGCATGGCTGTTGCAGTAGTAATGGTTCTACAAGCTAGATTAGTTTGGTCTAACTTCCCCATTAATGCACTGGGATTTGAAGATGTGGGTGGTAAAGTCCATACTGACACATGGTTGTCACCTTTTAAATATGAGCGTTTTGAATCTTTCTTTGTTAGCAGATTCCTTTCAAATTTAGGACAGTGCCTGTATCTCTTCATAATTCAAGATTTTTCTAATTGTGCAGTCAATGTTTGTCATCTTAAATTTAAGAGCCTTGTCATGATAGAAGTGCTTAGAATTAAAATGTCAAAACTCACTTTTATATACTGGTGTCTGTCTGTATGTGTATCGGTGAACGTTATGACAACTAGCTGAATAATGGCCTCCTGTGCTGTAACCACTCTTGATTCTAACTTGCTGTTTAGCACTAGCTGTTGGATGGTGTTATTTTCATTCATTTGTTTGTTTCTCTTATTAATCCTCCAGTGCTCAGTGAAGAGCTGCATCACAGCCTTTCATGTCACTTGTGCTTTTGAACATAGTCTGGAGATGAAGACTATTTTGGATGATGGCGATGAGGTAAAATTCAAGTCTTACTGTCTCAAGCACAGCAAAGGTCGACAGAACCAAGATGGTGACTCTGAACAAAATGCAAAACTCAATGAGCAAAAACAGAAACAGACTGAAACCGAGAAGAAGGGTTTGCGTGCACAGAAACTTGAGGAGCTGGAGGAAGAATTTTACACTTTGGTAAAGGTTGCTGATGTGGCTAGTGAACTGCATCTCTCGGAGCAGGTGGTAGAATATATTTTTGAGTACTGGAAGCTAAAACGAAAAAGCAATTTCAGTAAACCGCTGTTGCCACCAAAGGAAGGAGAAGAAAATTGTTTGAATCAACATAAGGAGGACCGGATCCATTCCAGAATGAAGATGTTCATGCATCTGCGCCAAGACTTGGAAAGGGTTTGTTTTTTTTTATTTTTTTGTTTCCTATCTCTGTTATAATTGTGGGTTACAGGTAACTTGGAAGGAATGCTAAAAATTGAAATGCTGCTCATTTTTTTTAGGTGAGGAACCTTTGCTACATGGTGAGCAGAAGAGAGAAATTGAAGTTGTCACAGAGCAAAGTGCAAGAGCAACTTTTTAATTTGCATATCCAACTGATGAATCAGCAAATTTCTGCTGGTAAGTTTTATACATCGATTTTATTTCCTGTGCATTTAGTTCCTTTTCTCCTGACACTGCAATATTAAGGGGCATTGTTGTATTGGATGTTTTTTATTCATTGGATGAAGGCACCACTTGCTAGGACAACATTTATTGCCCATTCCTAATTGCCCACAGGGCAGTTAAGAGTCAGCCACATTAATGTGGGTCTGAAATCACATGTAAGCCAGACTAGGTAAGGATATTAGTTTCCTTCACTTGAGGGTATTAGTGAACCAATGGGTTTTTTTTTTTCTGTCAATCAATACCAGTTTCACGGTCATCATTCAACTGTTTTAATTCCGGATTTTTAATTGAATCCAAATTCCACCATCTGCCATAGTGGATTCATACCTGGGTCCCCAGGTCATTACCAGGGTCTCTGGATTAATAGTCCAGCAATCATATCACTGAGCCATTGCCTCCACTTAACCTACACTTGTGGGCTGGGGAATCTTTAAACCTTTTATTTTGAACATTGTAAGCACATGGAACAGTATCAGAAAAGATAGCAGATGCATTTCAAAAGGGGATTGGATCAATAGCCCTCGAAGGATTAAAGCATATTGAGATAGAAGTCACACTGCTTGATGAGGAAGAAAGTCCCTTAAGTTAGGGACTGTTCTTAGACTCCCATTATACTGATTTGAGAATATGACATCTCTTCATTGATGCTGGGTTAAAATCCTGATGCTTCCTGTCTAGCAGCATCTAACAATAGGCAGCTGTTCAAGAAGTGCTCACCACCATCTTTTCTCTTTTTTAGTGAAAATTAGAAATGTTGTCATTGTCAGCAATGCCCATAATCCATTTTTAATTTTTTTTTAAATTGTGATGATGAAAGTCGTAGTTCATGATAGCAATATTAAGACCCTGGGCTGATCATTATTGTGATAGACCAAATACTGTTTTCTCTCTCTTCAGAATTTTGTATTCTGTAATCATAGATTCATACAGAACAGAAGCAGACCCTTCGGTCCAACTTGTCCATGCCAACCAGAGATCTCAATCTGATCTAGGCCCATTTGCCGGCATGTGGCCATTATTCCTGTAAACACTTCCTACTCGTGTACCCATCCAGATGCCTTTTAAATGTTGGAATTGTACCTGCCTCCACCACTTCCTCTGGCAGCTCATTCCATGCATAACACAATCTATGTGAAACAGTTACCCCCTCAGGTCCCTTTTTAAATGTTTCTCATCTTGCCTTTAACCTATGCCCTATAGTTTTGGAATCCCTCCCTTAAGGAAAAAGACCCTGGCTACTCACCCTGTCCATGCCCCTCGTGATTTTATAAACCTCTGTAAGGTCACCCCTCAGCCTCTGCTCCAGGGACAATAGCTCCAGCCTATTCAGCCCCTCACTATAAAATAAAGCTTCCAGACCAAGCAATATCCTTGTAAATCTTTACTGCACCCTCTCTGTTTAACAACATTTTCTTTTGATTCACTGACAGTGTCCTCAAATTTCCTTTATCTACATTATAACTTGCATCTTCACTTATATTCAACTTGGGTTTAAATTTCTTTTTCTTCTTCAGATTTCTTTTCAGTATTTGAATTCCTGAGTTTCCTTCATATTGGTTATCCTTGTATATCTATTGTGCTTGTCATCCCTTGTTCTTGCACATGTTAGGAATGTTCTTGTCACAGTTTTGACAGCAGCCTATACACCGTATGCTACTGTTCCCCAAATACTTAAGCCTGCTCTAATCTGAGGTTGCTTAATCTTGCACATGTCTACTGTCAGTAACAGATTGGGGAAAAATATTGATGTGATATTTTGAATCCAATTCCAAATTTTTATAGTCTACGTATGAACGAGAAGTAGTAGTAGCCATTCTGCCCCTCGACCCTGCTCCACAATAAGCTCAAATCATTGTTAGCACAACTGATCTGATCTGATCTGATTGAAATTCAAATCTGCATTTTTACCTGCCTTGAACCTTTCAACTCCTTGCTCCTTATGTGCAGCATTTTGGCAAAGAGTTTTGCAACAAGGCTGATTTTCCTTCTGTGGGTTGATGCGGTGTAGACTAGAGCCATCCCTCCCTGCAATCAATCATCTGACCCTCCCTACTTGTTCCAAACTTCTTGTTGCATTAGGAAGTGTTTCCTCATTGTCTTTGTCTTTGGTTCTTTTTACCATTTACCTTTTTTTTAAACTGTATCCTCTGGTTCTCATCCCTTCTGCCAATTTAAATCATTTTCCTTATGTACTCAGTTCAAACCCCTCATGACGAAGCTGTTCAAAATCGACCTTTTACTTCCGTCAATGTTCTGATGCACTTGATCTGGCCCAAGTGACTTGTTGATATTTAAATACAGCTGGACTTTTCTAATCCTCCTGTTATGAATTCGTAGCTCATTCAGTTAAACTTCTATCTCTTTGTGCCATGAGTTTCAAACAGCTTGTTTGACAATGATGTGAGAAAAGTACTCCTTCGATACCTCAGCTACGCCCTCTGCTTTCATTGGTAACTAACTGTTTTGATTCCTAATTAGCCACACTTTTTTTCCTTTTTTACCTGTCTTTCCTCATTATGTATGTGCCTAGAGAAGTCTTGGATTCCTTCTTGCATAAGTTGCCTACTCTAATAGTTGGAACCTACAGAATACGCTCCTTGTAATAGTTCTTAGCTCTACCCAAGTAAGATTCTACCTTGACCCCTCTGAAATCCTTGTTTTCAAGCACTATATAATATTCTCTTTTCAGTATAGTGCTGTTTCTCCATTTTTCCTTATCATTCCTGAACACCTTGGTCTGGTCCTTGTTTTTGTGAACTAAGTCTCTCGTTCCTCCATGCATCCACTTGACTATCTGCAATTGCAGCTCACCAACCTTATTTATCACATTACATGTGCATATATGCCCAGCAAAACCAACTTTTGCCTTCACTGAATTCATGCTTATTGTGTAGCTTTTAATGCCCGACTATTTCTTACTCACACTGCTTCTCTTGCAATTCATTGTGTATTTTTCCCTCTCTCTTGTTACTTCCAGGCTTCCATCTCCCTTTTCAAAGTAACTTTAAATTTGGGGGGTGAGGGAACAAGGGGAGCATATTTGCGATTTAAGTTTACACATTTTCTCCTCATTTTAAGGGCTTCCTTTGACTATACCACGAGAAGGATTGATGTTCCAGGACCCTCCAAGAATCACAATAAAACTAAAAACAGCCACAAAACCCTCGCAAAACATCAACAATGGTACGACCACTACTGCCAATGGTCCACTTTCCCTCAACGTTGATGGTAGTTTGTACAGTAAAAACAATTTGGCAATACCACAAAGCTCGAGAACTAGTGAAAAGAAGTTACAGTCCAATCACTGGCTTAAACCTGATGACAGAAGCAATGGACTGTTGCTAACTGGTAGTCGCCATAAGCAGAATGTTCAAGCGGGTAGTTCACTGCTATCCCCCGAATGTCATGTGCAGCAGACATCTGGCAAGCCTGCTACGCTTCACATAACACTACGTGGACAATCAGCTGATGCCAATGGAAAGATGCGAGACAACAATAAACCAGGGTTACTTAAATCAAATGGCCTAAGAGGAAGATCAGGCATTATTATTCAGAGAGACTGTTCCAGTCAAACCACCTATGACAAAGTGGCAACTCTTACAAACCATTTTGCCAACCAGGGCACTTTCAGAAAATCAAAGTTGGGGGAATTTAGCCAGCCTTGCAAAGACCGATTGGATGGTTTAGTGAGGACTTCAGAAGACTTCCAAAACTGTGAAAAGCCTCTAAAAAGGGGGTCGGCCAAAGATCGCCTGTGGAGTAAGCAGCTGTCTGAGCATCAGACAATGGCAGCATACCAGGATAATGATGGTTACTGTCCTGATGTTGAATTGAGCGACTCTGAGACTGAAGCTGACATTAGGCAGGAAAGGAGCAGGCTACGGAAAAGAAACTCTGAAGAAAATCCTAGCCAAGACTATGGGAGAGATTCTCGGTCACGGCAACACAACAAGGACAGCAGACCTAGGTTAAACATGCTTTGTCACATCAATTCAGTACAGAGGTGATCAATACTTGAATGACTGAGGACATTGTGCTAAATGTAATTGAGCCAATATTAGTCCCTTTTTTAATAGCTCTGTATGGGCAGCAATATTTGAATTTGCTGTGGATTACACTCCAGAATGATTTGCCCCATGAACAGAGATGAATGACAAGTGTATTTCTATCAATGTTTTTACAGATGCAAGTTTTACTTTAAAATTAAATGCCTTAAGGTGATCCTGGGGCATTACAACAACTGAACTATTAAGGAACTTTTTAATTGTTTTCCTGGTGACTGGCATTGTTTTATTATTTGCAGCATGTTCTTGGACACAACCAGCTGCACTGAAAGTTTCTTTTTTTGTTAATCTTGGGGGTGGGGGGAGGGGGGGATATACATTAACTACTAATTGCCTCCAAAAAAGTTTTTCCCAGACTGTAATCACTGTAATCACTTAACTTGGTGTTTTACAATTACGAAACTCATAGTATATGTACTCCATGAAAAGTTCTGCATTGCTGACGAATTTTTTTTTTTTGAAGACAACTATTGTGCTGTATAGATCTATTGTTGGCCATCCTCTAGGCCAATCTGTTTCTTGAATTTTGCCGTGCCCCCCCCCCACCCCCCCACCCTTCCTTGCCTTTTCCTATCATCACTCCTCCCCAACCCCCTTCCCTGGAACAAACCACCTTGTGTCACTCTGCAGTGGCCTTAGTTTTGTCCAGTTACGGCCAATTACAAATTTCAGTTTCTTGATAATGTCAAGTAGAATCTTATGTTCTACTTAAACTGCTCAGTTAGATTTTCATAGCTTGATTGTTCTAGACTAACATGGTAGTTGCAGTGAGCTGCTGCCTAGCCCAGGAAACCAGGGAGGAAAAATGAGAAGAAAATGAAAGCTTAATTTATTTTGCTATGGAGAGGAAGCACTTGAGGTTTTTTCCAAGTATAAGGACACTCTAAACGTGTGTTATGTTGGAGAAGATTAAGGTGATGCATTAATGCCATGTCTGACCTAATATCCAAATGGTCAATCCACACGAATTCCTGCTGCCATACTTCTTGAATTAACTAAATGGAAAATGACCTCAGATTTACAACTTTCCGTGTTTTTTTTCAATGTGAGCCCTACTAGTCATTGATGTTATGTATTTTGTTGATGTTTGCAGCTTTTTGTTTAATGTCATTGTATTTTATTTCTAGTTTTCCTAATGTTGCAGCAAAAAAATATAGCTTGCCTCAGTTACTCACTTAAAGGCAAGCAGGGAAGACCCAGATTTACCACTGTCCATTTCTTTTTCCTATCAGTATTTGTATTTGACCCACACAACCAAAAGTTCAAAGTTTTACCAAAAAAGTACAAGAGAAAGCATGATAGTAAATAAGTGTAATGTTCTTTATTACTGAAGCTAGAAAATACTAACTTAGTTCTACTGTTTTAAGCACTAAAATACAGTGAATTTGCACAAGGCATTATATAATCCAGAATAGGTTAAATGTACCACCCCCCCACCCACTGCAATGTATTGTAAAATGTTTCTAGTTTGGGAAAGCAAATTTAAGCCACAAGTTTCATCCCATTCATGTACTGTTCAAACACAAAGCATTTGCATTGCTGTTTGTCTCTTCCAGGCATCTCTTTGTGGGTGTATGAAACTTAGCAATGTGGGGTGTAGGGTTACTAATGTCTCTCTGGATGCCCTTCCTCCATCTTGACCTTGGGATTTCTGACAAACATCACCCCAGCACCACCTCCCCTCCCCTTCTTTGCCATTGATTTCTGCCTCCCTGTCCTTATTCCTGTTCAATACACCATTCTATTTGTTCTGTTTAATGTTCTGTAATTTTTTTCAAAGTTTAAAGTTGTACTTTCATTATTGGCATTTCATGGGACAAAGGGAAATATTAGTTCCCTTTTATAAATAGCGGGTTTTAGGTGCTCGAGCAGCAGAAGCCATTGTGTAACTTTTGCTCCCTCTGCCTCTGGTGAAAAATATGCATGAAGTGTTTTGTGGTGCTACCATAATAGATTCTGCTGCAAATTAACACCATAAAGCTCTTGGTGTTGTTTCTTGCCTTGAGTTGAGGCTTTTTTTTATTTTTGAGGAAAACTTTGCATCCTTCTCTAGAAATGAAGGATAGCCTAAAATGTTACTGTGTTTTAAAACACAATCATTCTAGGTAATGGGAGAAAGGACAGAAAACAAGCTTGTCCTTAAGACATGTATGATAGTTAATGTGTTCAGATACACTGATAATTGTCTTTAAATATGAATCTTTGTTTCCTAAATTGTGTTTGTATTTCAGTTGTTTTATATATTGAAATTTCTGGAGTTTTCTCACTGACCTTTTCCAGAGCATCCTCTTTTACAGGTAGTTTTCTGATTAAAAAAAATTAGATAAAATGTTCTTGTAATTATTTATTAGAGGTATTTGCTCTAACTGCATTATAATTCTTGGATACAAGTTCTAAAAGAGCAGTTGAATAAAATCTGTCACTAAGCTTATAGTTTACAGGGCAGCAGTGTTATCTGCCCTTTAATATGCGTAGGAGATGTAGGCAATGCACAGTAGACATCTTGAGCCCCTAGAAAATATCGCCAGCAGCACCTCTGCAAACTCTAACAGCAGGATAGGTGCTCCATTATTTGCACGTCTCGGACTGATTTCCCAAGCATTGAGGCACTAGTTACTGACAGTTCGCTGCATTGGGTGGGCCACATAATTTGTCTGACATTAGACTTCCAAAACAAGCTTTCTACTTCAGAGTCTGTGTCACAGCAGTTGGTTACCAGTAGGGCAGAGCAAAATGCTACATCATACCCTCCTAGTCCCTTAGAAAAGGAAATAATATCCCCATCAACTCGTGGGACTCACTTGCCCAAGACCACCCAAAATGAAGAACAAACATCTGGAATAGGCCATGCACAAACAGCCAAAGGAGCATTGAAAAATCTGAGCACCATCCTCTTGTCTCTTACAACGCCACATGCTCCACCTGTGCCAGAGTATGCAGATCAAGCATTTGACCATGTAGTTACCTTAGAGTCCACAAATCTGAGTTTGAAGAAAATCATCTTTGGTCCCAAGGGATTGCTGAAGAAAGTGGTGATCTTTTAGTATTAAGAGAATCTCTCTCTTTATTCTGCAACAGTTCTAAATTTTTCTATCGCACCCACTTGGTTTGATAAATGGCCTGTGATCAAATAAACAAATAGCAAAGATCTTTAAAATGTCATTAACAAATATAGAAAATAATCAAGGAAGCTAATGGGATGTTGTTCTTTGTATCTAGAGGACTGAAGGACAAGGATGCGCAAGCTATGCAAAACCCTGGTTAGACCCCACTTGGAGTACTATAAGCAGACCTAGGCACCACATCTTCAAAAGAATATATTAGCTTTGGAGGGAGTACAACATAGGTTTACAATAATGATGCCTGAACTTCAGATGTTAAATTATAACAAGAGATTATACAAATTAAGGCTGTTTTCTCTAGAATTTAGAAGGTGAAGGGTGATCTGATCAAAGTCTTCAAGATATTAACAAGAACTGACAAGGTAAATAAATATAAAACCAATTTTACTGGTTGGAAATTATAAAGCTGGGGGGCATAGTCTGAGAATTGGGGGCCAGACCATTGAGGAAAGATGTTTGGAAGTGCATTAATACATGAGGGTTGTAGATGTTTGGAACTCTTCCATAAACAGCAGTTGATGCTAGATCAGTTGTTAATTTGAAGTCTGAGGTAGATAAATGTTTATTAAGCAAAAGTGTACAGGGATATGGGCCAAAGGCAGGTATATGGAGTTTGGCCACACATCAGCCATGATCACATTGGCAGAAAAGGCTTGAAGAGCTGAAAGTAACAGGAATAGGCCAATGTTCCTGTACGTTCTGTAGCAAAATCATTTCCATCTAACACCACTGTTAACATTGTGGAGCTATCACTGGCTTGAAGGTTATTTAGATCAGTCATCACGTCACTTGTTCTCAACAGAAATGGGCAAACTTTTTTCCCATGGTATAAATTGTGCTCATTGAAAATTGGCATTTCTTGCATTTGTTCTGATGTCTACAAGACAGTTTTTGACAACATTTATCTTTTCAGCTGTATTTAATAAATTGAGGACAATTTATTTTCACTGTCAATCATGTGAAACTTCCAAGAAGACTTGTGAAGCAGAGTCTTAACTCTTTATCTTCACAGATGCTGCCAGACCTGCCGAATTTCTCCAGCACCTTGTTTCTGTTTCGGATCTCCAGTGTCTGCAGTATTTTGATTCTATTCAAACGTGAAGCCTGGCCAAGTGAACTATGAATCAGCCTGAAGAATTAATGTTCATAAATCATTGTACAAGAATGCAATGTCATCTGCTACTTTCAGATTGGCAAGTGCTTGTTTGACCTATTAATAACAGTAGACCAGGGAACCTTTTGTGAATTAAACAAAGCATGTTATGCCCTGAATGTACTTGGTCTCCTTTGAAGACCTCTAGTAGAGATGGCAAATTCATTTTTTTTCCCTCAGGATTGTTGTCTCTCTACTGAATAGATGAATTAACAGTGAGAGTGCCAGAAGAAAGCGCTGATTTATTGGAAAATAGATTGCTGTATTAAGAGTATGGTAGAGCAAGATGTAAACCTTGACTCCAAGTCTAGGCATCAGAAGCAAGGATAATGAGAGGCATTCACTTCTTGTTTCAATCATTTCAGCTAAGCTGTCTTTGACTCTTTCTTTTCTTCCTTCATCAGACTCTTCCTAAAGTGCACCAGTTAGTCTCTTGACCCTGACTGAGCCAGACCATTTGGCAGGAATTTTCTCATGGACTTTGAAATGCAATCATGATCCAATAACAGTCATGAGCCTGCAATGTTCAGCCACCTGTATGTGACTTGCCCTGAATGACCAGACGTGGATTGGCTCTGTAAGATGAACAGTCAGTAAGTGGCCTGCCTGCCCCTCTGCTCATCTGTATCATGGCTAAAACCTCATCTTGCATTCAGGTAATCCTGGTCTAATGCTCACCAGAATTAATTGTTGCTTTCAACTTAAAATTCCAGGAAAAAGTTGTTTTCATTCAATTTAAATGAAACAACTGTTAAAGGTCAAAATCCATGTAACACATAGATCTTCTCATAAGAGTGCACGTTTTTAAGATGTTGACAGCGTCCCTTGTGGTTACAAAATGCATTGTAAACTTACTAGCTTTATCTTTTACAGCACCTATGGAAATGTGAAAGCAGTAATGATATGGAAAATACAGACCCGTTATTACGCTGGCAATTGGTTTTACTTCACTTTGGATATCCATGTACGGTTGATCATACGCATCTGAAATGATTGGATAGATGCTTAATGGGGAGAAAACGTTAGAGGTATGGCTAGAGACCAAAGCAATATGGTTAATTGGCTTTACTAAAATACAAGTAAAAGCACAATGGCCACCTGTTTTAATTATCCCTTTCTTCAACTGTATTTCCCAGCTACCATTCTCCCTCCTATGTTGACCTGCATTCTTCTTCAACTCGCTGTGTAAAAAGAATGCAAAAGACTTTAATGACCTCAATGTTCCAAAATACTTTACAGCCGCTGAAGTGCTTTTGAAATATAGTCACTGTAGGAAATCCCCTTTTAGGGAAGGGAACTGCCATCCTTACTTGGTCTGGACTACATGTGATTTCAGCCACACAGCAATGTGGTTGACTATTAACTGCCCCAGGATGGGCGATAAATGTGGCGATGCCTTCATCCCATAAATGAATAATTTTTTTTTTAATGTAGTATTTGGTTTATAAAGAGCAAGCTCCTACAGCCAGTGATGTGGTGACCAAATAATTTTTTTTCTAATGTTGGTTAAGGAATGAATATTAGCTAGCATACCTTGGATAATTCTTTCTTTTGAAATAGTTTAATAGGATCTTTTATGTCCAGGATAAGAGAAATGGGCCTCTGTTTAAAGGACGATGCCTCTGACAGTGTAGCGTGCCCCTAGAATTGCACTGGATTGTCAGCAACTAATTTTGCAAGTGTCTGGAGTAGGAAACTTCTGACTTGGATAAATCTCCCACCAACTGAGCCACACGTCGCACTCCTTTAACCACTTCCTATGTGAATACCTCCTGGCTAGATTTCATGTTGACCACAACATTACAAACCACTTGTATCAAGATCACCAGCCATATCCTATTCCAGTGGTTTTATTGCAGTCTATTCTGTTCAAACTTCAGCCTACACCAGTGGCATAATTGATCAATAACCTTTTTTATTATCTTTTCTTGGCCTTTTTCAGTTCCCTTTGTGCATGACAATTACTTTCCTGAACTCTCTCAAAGTTACCAACAGAATGCTTCAGTGTTCCATGTTTGGCTCTATCATATTAGTTGCACAATCTTGTAGCATTCCAGCATGAGCTATGATTTAATACATATGCTAAGAGAACACATCTAGCTTATCTCTGCAATACTTTGCTATTATGCAATTGCCAAATAGATCGTGTTGGATGCCTAGACTGAAGGATCAGTACTAGAACTGTGCAGAAAGCTGGATAAACTGAGCAATATGCACAGACTGAAATGGGTCAGATTTGATTAATGTTAGTGTGCTATGCTGACATCTTGAGTCTGATTAAATTACTGAAGCTTTTACTGTACTGCAATGAACGCAATGCATTGATTCATTCTTTTTGGCAGACTTAAATCAGTCTCCTCAGGACCTCACCATTAAGTGTATAAGTCCTGTTCTGATTTGGACAAATTGATTGCTTTGCTGTGTATCATAGCACTGGAATTGTAACCTGCAAAAGTAAACTGAACAATGCAAATCTATCACAGATGAGGTTAACATCTTGTTGCAGAAAAGTCAAGCCCTTTGTTTCACTTGGTATTGCCAGAAAATGTTCTACTCGCGAAAACGCAGAATTGTTAGCTATAGTTTCCATAGGAACCATCACCTGGCCCTGTACTTTAAGATGATGCCTAATTGAAGTCATAAGTTTCTATTATGGGCATTCATGGAACCTGAGCAGGCTGATTCTTACCTTGTATTGGGGTGCAGAATTTGCTTAATTTTCTGTCCTGCTCTGTCACCACTATGTTATCATTTAAGATGAGCAGACTCAAAGCATGATGTAGTTTGATGGACAAGTTAATGCCATTCTGAACAATTGGTAGCGAGCACTGCCACCCGCCCAAAAAAAAAGTTATGATTAATGCTGGTAAGCTTTCAGGAGAACTTCAGAGTATTTGTTGCTGTCCACCCATCGAATGTTGGCTAATTATAAAGTTGAGAGAAAGCGTGTCTGGATCACTGAAAACTGACCACTTCATCTAAATTGATTTTCCTTTAAAAGGAGTTTTGCCTGATGTGCTTGTGCAGCTGGCTTTAGGAAGGACAATGTAG